TAAGACTAGCACGACCTATCTACTTGTATTTGGATGTAAGGTAGAGACCTCATGAGCTACAGATATGGAGATGTCTTAGCTAAAGTCGTGGGTGGACCTATAAGGGTATAGCTCGCACTGAACAGACCCACAAAGAGACTCTATGAGGAACTCTTACAGAGAGTATCATTAGAGTAGTCTCTTTATATTTGGGTATGTCTTTCGTGAGACCAGAAGTTATTACCTAGACTGTGTTCTAGAAGGCATTCTTTGATTGTTCACCTCGTCTGCTTGAAACATGGAGACTCATAGGTATACTGTTGGGCTTGTCCTGAAAGAACACAGGGCTAGGGTGATAAGCTGAAGGAATTCGTCAAATCTCTGTGAGAGATTAGGTTATCTGTAAACCGGAGAAATCGGGATGACATTTACAGGGACTCGGGCATCTATGCAAAGTAAAAGAGATCATGAGATGATCTGCCTTTAGAGTCTGTAAATTGAAGATTCCCTATTTCGAATAAAGCTTACCCTAAACCGCAGGGGTTGATACGCTTCCTTACCCTAGGTTTTATGGGAAGGTAACCGATACGAAAAGAAATATATACGGCAACAAAATATGTGTAATAGGATGATCAAGTCATTAATCTAACTAGTTCTGCATTTTAAATTAAGCGTGGCTTAATACGATAACATGATAACTGAAAGTTAAATGGCCTTGAAGGCCGAAGCATGTGAAATGGAAAAACAAAGAATTTCAAGCGGAACTACACATGCGTTCAAGACTCATGCTTTAAGACAACATGATGTTACCTTTGTTTGTGATTCAAACAGCAAGGAGATCATGTACCAAAAAAAAAAAAAAAATCAAGGAGATCACTGTCAGGTTTAAAGGGTTCAAACCCTCTAACGTTGATCCACATCACCCATGTCAAGATGCAAGAACTCTTCTTGTCAAGCCACCAATTGACCACCACAAAGAGGCTTGCTATGTGCTCAATAGGTGAAGAAGGAGGCTAGGTAAATGTGTTTAGAAGAGCGAAGTCTTCAGCATGAAAACTTCACAAGAGTGGGGAATGGATTGGAGTAGAATTGGCTAGGTCTTTTATTTGAAAACCTTAAGATGAACTTACCCCTAGTATGCGCATAAGAGAGTGAGAGAGTTAGAGAAATCAAATCAGAATTTTCACTTAAAAAACCAATGAAAGTGGCGCACAAGAGAGGAGAAAAAGGTGGAGTTGTTGCAATTCAAAATTCCCAAACACCTACCTTTGAATCCTCATGAGACTAGGTCTCTATCTAGTCAAGATTATGAACTAATGGTCATCATATGACCATCCTATTCATGCGCCCCATTCATCCCCAAAAGGGGTCCAGATACTTTGAGCTGTTGCATTCAAGTTTGAACCAACTAGCTCACTGATTCTCTCAACAACCAAATTTGATTGCAGCTTGTTTGTTTGAAAAAGATGACACTCATCTCCAACCAAAGTGGCGCCCCAAATCAGCCTTTGGAGATCTCCATAGATCTTCTCTTGATACAAGGAATTTGTTCCAACAAGATCTCATCTTATCCTTTTGTTATGAAACAACCTTTCATAGCCAATTCAAATTCGAATTCAAACATTTAAATTCAAATGTTCAAACACTTAAATTCTAAATTCAAATTCAAATTTCAAATTCAAATTCAAATTTCAAATTCAATTCAATTTCAAATTTGAAATTCAAAATTCAAAGTTCAGTTCATGAGACCGCGGCGGAGTGGAGCAGCCGCGACACGAAGTTCCTTACCTTAGCTGGATCTCGCTGGTGCCACCTAAACGGTAAGTAGGCGACAGATGTGTGACGTTTGGAGTTGTCGTTCGTGCACCTGTCCCCAATGGAAGAATGAGTGAAATTCAAAATTCAAAATTCAAATTCAAATTTCAAATTTCAAATTCAAAATTCAAATTTCAAATTTCAAATTCAAAATTCAAATTTCAAATTTCAAATTCAAAATTCAAATTTCAAATTCAAAATTCAAAATTTAAATATTTGATAATTAATTTAACCAATTAAATTAATTAGTAATGTCTTGGACCATCCAAGCCCATTAACCATGCCATGCGCCCTCTCCCTCTTAGGTGGGCTTCCAAACTTCATCTTGGGCTAACAACCATTATTAGGCCCAATACCTTTAATGCTAGATCATCATGACAACAAGGTGTTAGTGTGTGACCCATTAGGTCCAACATAGTCACTGACATAAATGGGCTTGGGCCCAATAAGCCCACAACTCATTTAATGACAACACAGAGCACTAGCAATGCTTTGTTGCCCCAGAGCTAGTTAGATTAATGACTTGATCATCCTATTACGCATATTTGGTTACCGTATATATTTCCTTTCGTCTCGGTTACCTTCCCATTAAACCAAGGGTAAGGAAACGTATCAACCCTTGCGGTTTAGGGTAAGCTTTATTCGAAATAAGGAATCTTCAATTTACTGACTCTAAAGGCAGATCATCTCATGATCTCTTTTACTATGCATAGATTCCCGAGTCCCTGTAAATGTCATCCTGATTTCTCCAGTTTACGGATAACCTAATCTCTCACAGAGATTTGATGAATTCCTTCAGCTTATCACTATAGCCCTGTGCTCTTTCAGGACAAGCCCAACAGTGTACCTATGAGTCTCCATGTTTCAGGCAGACGAGGTATACAGTCAAAGCATGCCTTCTAGAACACAGTCTAGGTAATAACTTCTGGTCTAAGGAAAGACATACCCAAATATAAAGAGACTACTCTAATGATACTCTCTGTGAGATTTCCTCATAGAGTCTCTTTGTAGGTCTGTTCAGTGCGAGCTATACCCTTATAGGTCCACCCACGACTTTAGCTAAGACATCTCCATTTCTGTAGCTCATGAGGTCTTTACCTTGCATCTGAATACAAGTAGATAAGTCGTGCTAGTATTACCCGAGATCACTGATCCCCACTCTCAGTGTCTCTAGACTAGGAACATAAAATTAGGAATAAACATCCGGTATCCATAAATCCTCATGATCATGATCTCATGACAGATACTTAAGAGATACCTATTTAATTCCAAGGGGTTTATCCAGTTTATTCATAATATATTAACAATAATATTGAGACTAAATATGAAACAGGATAAAGAGTGCTTATTATTAATTTGCGACAAAAAGGTCTAAATCTTATGTCCTTATTTAATCAAAAAGATTGTCTCTAGGACACCCATATACTAACAATAACAAACCGGGTATACACGGGGTGTTACACTTAGGCTTCTCCTAAAGCCATAAACCTTTAATCTAAGTGATTCTGACTTAGTTAACTCATTACACAAGTTCTTATTATTAATCAAGGGTTCAGAAACCCAATCTAAGCTTCTGTTCGGACAGAACTGGTCAACATACGAAATTTCCCAGAATATCCGGATACTTCACAGGGGCATATCCGGATATCACAAACCCCATATCCGGATATCATATCCAGATATTTCTCGACAGAATGCAATCTTTGCATTTTGCGAAGATATCCCTCCAAGACATCATTTTTAACACTTCTACACGTCCAAGCATGCATTTTTATACACCTTTACGTCAATGTTTATGTTGGCTAGTTAATCCTATCATTTTTCATGCCAAGACTTAACTTTAACAAGAAAACTCATGAACAAGGTTAAGAACATACCCCCAACAGCTCAAAGCAGAAAAAAGGTGTCTTGATGGTTTCTATACCACTCTACAATGCAGCAAACACATGGCTACGAAAATGAGCGTCAAGCTAGATCCTTTTTCTATCAAAGTGGCTTCTTGAAGCTTAAAATGTCAAGAAAATGGTTCTCACACCCTCAACAATGGAGTCAGCCCCTCAAACCTCCTCACACAGCAACTACCCTCAGAAAAACAAAAGCCGTTTTCGTGGAAGAGAAGGTAATGAAATGGTGAAGAGAAGTTGGCAGCCACAAACACCCACGCAGGAAACTAAAGGATTCGCCTAGGGCTTTGTGCAACCTTAGTATATATAGGTGCATTAAGTTTAATCCACTGTATTAGCACTAATAGCTTCGCAAATCGTTTTAATCTAAAACTTCAGATTCTGAACCTAGCCATTTTTCTAGGATTTGTCTTATTTTTATTATAATTTTTGCAGCACTTTGTCGGTATGCATTTTTACGTAGCCGATATAAGTTCTTACGTCAGTTCTCATTATTAAGACTCCAAACTTGATATACCAGTCCTAAATATTATTCTAGGAATATTCTTACACTTATTATAATTTTTCGGGATACTTCGTCGGTACGCATTTATACCGAGAAGCAGAATCAATATCTGCACTTTTCGTCCGAAAAGTGACTTTCAACGTTATTAAGCCCTTACTATAATTATTTAAGTCTTCTCATAATTATGTAAGGTCAATTATGGAATTCTTAGTCAAACTCATAATTAAATTATTTAAATTCCTAATATAACGGTGCAGGTTCTTACAGGTATTCATGGATTACATGAACCGTATTTTCCAGCCGTACTTGGATCGTTTTGTGATATGTTGTATGAAATGTTTTGATTCTGTTTTTGGGTTAAGAAAAGCTTGATCACTGTTAAATTTCATTTTTGGTTGAAGTTACTATCAGTGGCGGATCCAGGAATTTGAAGAATGGTAAGCACTCAAGTTCAAGTACATATATTTTAATAAGAAAAGTATATTACAATAAAAATAATTACAATGTCATTCTTCTAGGCTTTATTTTTTGGAATTCCATCATAATTGCCTCATTATCAATGCTATCAAATACATATTTCTCAATATATGGCACTAAACAATCATTCAACCATTCATCTCCAATCCGATTACGAAGTGCAGTCTTGATGTATTTCATAGCTGAAAATGCTCTTTCCACAGATGCAGTTGCTACGGGCAAAGTTAATGCTAACTTTACAAGTAAATAAACCAAAGGATACACAATATGTTTTTTCTTTTCAACCATCCTCTTGGCAAGATCAGCTATTCCTTGCAAATTCAAAAATCAGGATCACTTTGCATATCAAAAATATACGTGTCGAGCTGATATTCAAGCATGACAAAATCATTCAAATCAAAATCCGAAGGATAATAGCTAGCAAATTCACACAACTTATTCTTGTCAAATGCCGAGAAAGAGTTGGACGGATTTAAACACGCCATGCGTTCCAGCAAATTCGAGCTAACTTCACTAAAACGATCATCCAACTCTTGAAGTTGAGTATCTATCACTGCATAAAATATGTCAACCTTAAAGTGATGCAGATGAGTAATTGGTCCTCTACGTTTTGTTCTCCCTTGTAATGCAAGTACACTTTCCATATCAGGCATATCTATATCATGTTTTATACAAAAATCAGAAGTCCTCTTAAATAGATTATCCCACCCATTATCCCTCATATTCTGTAATAACACCTTTGAAACTTTTACAAGAGTCATAGCATTTACAATATCTTGATCTTTTCTTTGAAGTGTTTGTGACAACTCATTCGTTATTGCCAAGACCTTGATCATCAAGTTCAAAAGTAATACAAATTCAAAAGTTTGCATACGCATCATAAGGCTAGAGGCTTCAAACCTTTTTGCTTGCATAAGGGTTGTATCGTCTTTTATAATGTCTAGCACATCAAGCACTGGATCAAACAATGTACAAAGACTTACCAATGATCGGTAATGTGAGCTCCAACGTGTATCCCCTGGTCGTGACAAACTCATTTCTTGATTCAAGCCTCTCCCTGATTGAACATCACCGCTTGCAATACTTTTGACTATCTCATCAAATTGCTTTTCTCTCAAAATATCTGCTCTTTTGCAAGAAGCACCAACTGCATTACACAACAACGATATAAAATTATAGAAATCAGTCAAAGCGTAAACCTTTTTAGCACAAGCTACTAGAGCTAACTGAAGTTGATGTGCAAAGCAGTGAACATAGTAAGCAGAATTATTTTCAACTAAAATCAAGCTTTTCAGACCACTGAATTGACCACTCATATTGCTTGCGCCATCATAACCTTGACCTCGAATCTTTGTCAAGCTCAAGCCATTTTTGGCAAAACTTATCTCAATCGTTTCTTTAAGTGAACTAGTTGTAGTATCTGAAACATGAACAAGACCAAGAAAACGCTCAATAATGTCACCGTTGCAGTTCACATATCTTAAAACAATTGCCATCTGTTCTTTAATTGATATATCACGAGCTTCATCAACTAGTATAGAGAAGAAATTATCCCCAATATCTGAAATAATAGCTCTGGTAACTAAACTAGCAGCAACATTAGTAATATCTTTCTGAATTGAGGGAGCTATCATTTTGAGATTCTCTGGGGCATTATTCAAAGACACATTATTTACCTCCTCATTGCTTTCACAAAGGAATTTTACAAGCTCCACAAAATTTCCCTGATTCATTAAAGCATTTGTCTCATTATGTCTCCGGAAAGCCAAACCTTGTCATATGAGATATCGAATACATCGAATAGAACCATTCAGACGAATACGATAATCCTGTTTGGCTTTGTCAGAAATGCCAGACACAATAATGTCAATATGTTGATTTTGATTCATCAAATCTTTGGCAGCACTGAAACACAAGTTATGAATGCTTCTAACTTTCCCAATATGTTTAAAGAGCCGTTGTTTGTCCTTCTAATTGCTAAATCCTTCTCCTGTAAATAAATCATGACCAGCCCTTCCATCACCATGCTCACATTTAAATAGATAACAATGCAAGCAAAATACAACATCTTTTGATTCACTATACTCCAACCAAGTGCCAAACTCATTGTACCATTGAGGATTAAATCTACGCATTTTACCCCCAATTAAGGATTGAGGAAAGTTGTCAAGTTTTGGTTGACAAGGACCATTCGTTAGATAAATTCTTCGAATCATTTCCCTTTCTAGAGCACTCTTCGCAAATCTCATAATAGGAAGTCTTTTACCCGGATCAGGAACATACAAATCTGGTGGACCTTCTACTGTTGGTTTGTTCTGACTTGAGGGAGTAGCACACTCATTTTGTTTATCCGGTGGACCTTCTTTTCGAGTACGTTTAGTACCACCACTTGACTTTGTAAAAAAAGAACCTACATACCTTTCCATCCTAAAAAATAACAAATGAGAAAAAGTTATCGTGCTCATCAAACACCTTATAACACAAAAACAGAGCATGTGTTTAGCATGCTATTCAAAGGAATAAAAGGCTAATGCCTTGAAATATTCCAAACAGGCATGGATTAAGGTATTGAAATATTCACTAACTAACCTGTGACAAAGAGGGAAAGGAACTAGGAAGTAAACAACAAAGAATTAACCAAGAATAACCTCAATAGCTCTCGTGATCATATAGATCTCCCTGCGTATAAGATGAACAATTCCATAAAGAAACAATTTAAATATGTACATATATATTCTTCTAGAACTAAGGGAAAAAGTAAAAGGGCTAATAGATCCATATATTTTGTAACTGAGGCGAATTCTCATTGGTGATAAGAGATCTTCATCTTAGTAAAGTATTTTCAAATATGTCCTAGAATTTGGACTGTAGAGATTAATTAATGTATAAAAAAACAAAGGTTTGTTATGGTATTCATTTTGATTTGATACCTTGACAACGAATTCAGAAGCCATTTGCACGCCAAGATAAAACATATTGCATCATCAACTATCACACTCAAGCTTAAAAACGCACACAACACTTTCTAATACAATATGTTGAAGTGGAACATATCATTCATTCCACATAAAAGCTGAAGACTCTTGTGTTTAGATGGCTAAGTTGGAAGGTGAGGATGAGATAGAGTCTCTGAGAATTGAGTTGGCAGAGATTGGAAGGAGTATAAGATCCTCATTTAGAAGCCATGCCTCCAGCTTTCGGAGCATTTCAAACGGGAAAAAAAAATTGGGATTCTGCATTAATTTCATTTCAACCGAGAAAAAAAATTGGGATTCTGCATTCATTTTATTTCAACCGGAAAAAAAAATTGGGATTCAACACAAGAATCGGGTTAATTTCCAATTGAATGTATTAGTTGAACAAGGATAAGGCAACCGAATCAATGAAGTTTCATTTCTTTCCACTCCAGTATCATTGATAGCAATCAAATCAAATCAACCACTTACAATGCAAATTGAAAATAGTTGTACTCAAAGGGAAGGAGAATTACCTCTCAACGGCTGAACCTGAACGGAGGACATCTTCGACTTCGACCCCAGGCCTGTGCTCGAAAGTTTTAAGGATGGCCAGCCTTGACGAATGACGACCCTATCTGTGTTCGCTTCAACGCTTCGACCCTAGCTGTGCTCCGAATTAGGTACATAAGTTTTTTTGATTTGGTCTAACGAAGGTGGTCTGGTCACTGAAGGAGGAGAAAAAAAAAACAAAATATAAAAAAAACTTAATTTTAAGTGAGGGATATTTTAGTCTTTTCATGTCAAAATTTGAGGGTGGGCAAGTGCCCACCTTCTCTTTGACTTGGGTCCGCCTCTGGTTACTATTAAAGGGTTGTGTTTTTAATTGTTTTTTGAAGAAGAAGTAACACACAATTCACCCCCCTCTTGTGTGATTGTTTAGCCATCTTTTTTTTCAACCTTGTCAACATAGTTTGGTATTTTTCAATGATGTTTCTTTATTATTATTTTTTAACTAATAATCTTGTCACCACAATTTTGTGTTTTCCATTGATATTACTTCATTTTAGACCCTTTCCTTCGTAATTATTTTTATAACTCGTCATGTTGTCAACCTTATCATATAATTGCATAATTAAAAGAAAATAATCAATAAAAATCTGTAAATTTTGTGGATGTTATATATAAAAATAGGTAAGTAGAATTTTAGATAGGTGACAGGTAACTAATTTGCTATTTAAGCAAATTCTGAGTCAGTTTGATCTAACAATATGTGCAGAGCAATGTATATTTAACTTTTATATTGCCACTACACAATTGTTTTGTATTATTCAAACACAAACTTTTTCGTTGCAAAATATATAACCTTAATTTAATTATAAAAAAATTAAGTGTGGCCTTTCTAAGCAAGACGATTTCACATTTGATATTTTATTAAAATATTAAACGACATTTTGTCATATCATCAAGCTGAAAAATATATAAGATGTGTGTACGAACTATTTAATAATTAAATTAAGAGCTAAATCACCATTGGTGATACGACTTTTTAAAAGAGATTTCTTAAACTCTTAATTGAGCGGAGCATTTTTTTTTTTTTTACTTTCCCTCTCTACCGTTAAAGTTATGTTTACTGTTTTCAATGGGATGTGTTAGAAAAACATTATCAAAATATAATATAAGATAAAAAAAAAAGAAAAAAAAGAAATCATACGATATAAATAACAGTTTCTATCGATTTACAAGTTTTATAAATTGAAGCGTGAACATGGTACGTATTCTCAAAAGCAAGATATGACCAGGTTTTCTCCCACAGAATCTGGGCTGCATTTTCGTATGTACTCAGGTAAGCTCTTCTATATTTTGGTGAATTATCACCTGTTTAGTTGGTGGTGTTTGTTTTTCTATAAGCCTTTTTTCTTAATTTCAGGTAAGAATTAGCATTCTTCTTATGCAAGTTGGTGGTCGTGTTTAAGTTTTGGTACCACCTATACTGTTCTTGTAACTGCTTTCATTCATTAACCAAAGCAACATATCTAAGTTCGATAAGAAAGAGACAAAAGCAAGAAACAAGGTAGGTGGCTGTCACAGTATTTTGAAATAATAATCTCTGGATAGTTCAGAGAGTAGTTGGCAATTGCTATCACTTAGCTATGTCTCTCCTAACAATAAAGAATCATAGTATACGAGGACAAATTATGAATATGAAACTGAATTAAAGGGCATGCAGGATCAGAAGTTCTTGACCATAATGTACTTCAATCTCTGCATGCAGGACACGCTCTTCGATTTTGGGCACTAGCAGATTCCTTGTAGGCAAAACAACAATTGTCTGCAAAACCTTAAATAAATTCACAAAACTAGAAAAATTTCCTGCACTGCAATGAAGAAGGCACTCTTCCCTATTCTGTTATTTAATAGAGTACCGATTTGTTCACATCACATAATAAATGTTGGTCAATAAATAGTTTACTCTGTTTTATGATTATTGTAGTGTTAGATCATTACTTGGCAGACTGAGAAGGAAATAGAAGTTGCCCCCGGTTGTGTTTATGCCTATAAAGAACCAATTGCCCCCGGTTGTGTTTATGCCTATAAAGAACCAATTCAACCCAAAAGCTTAAGCTGCTGGGTGAAGTTACATTAATGATTTTATATATTTCAATAATGTCTCGACCATATAGGAAAATAACAAAGTTCATGGAAAACAATTCTTGATTTCCGATGGAAAGATATAAAGAACATAACAAGATAAAAAAGAAAAAAGAAAAATTTGTTTAACTTTCGTTAATAACTTATTATGAAAATTGTTATAGAATTCAGTTTTTTTTAAAACAAAAACAAGTAACAATACAAATATAAAGAAAAGAATTTAATGTAAGCATATTCTAAAAAAAAGTTTTGCATAGTTAGCTAATGATATATTCTCATATTACTTAATAAATATGACATCTTGTCAATGTCATTTTAGTGATATGACAACACATTGTCGAATGATGTGCGAAATTTTTTGTATTAACAATGGGAAAAATATTTATTTTTTTTAATGACACAACTTGTGTTATTTTTTTTTTGAAAATATTCCAATTGGTTCATTACTTCGCAATTAATCTAATTCGAGGCGGGTCCAGGATTAGATTAATTGCGAAGCAATGAACCGGTTGAAATATTTCCACACAAAAAAAATGAAACAAGTTGTGTCATTTAAAAGAACAACTGTGTTATTTCACTCTTATAAAAAGGTGGAACTCACATCTTTTTTCTCATTTAAAAGGACACAACTTTATCTCCTTTAAAATGATACACACTTTTCTTATTAACAATATATCATAATTAAACAAATATATATATATATATATATGTATATATATATATATAGAGAGAGAACAATGCTTTTCTCATGCTACATGAGATAGTATTATCTCATGTAGAGACATAATTGGATGGGTCCCACGGTTAAAAGAAAAGAAAAAAGAAAAAGAAATGCTGGCTCGGATTGCGATGTGTCTGTGACATGAGATAAATTTTTTTATGTAACTTGAGAAAAACATTTCTTATATATATATTGGTATTACATTTCTCATTTTATAGGAAAAGTATGCTCTCGTGCCACTGACTCATGGAGCTTTGTGCCTAATTTTTTTATTTATGCTTTTGAGAAAAACATGGGCTCCACTAAAATTTATCTATGTAGAAAAATTGATATCTTTCTGGAGAGATTCTTAACAGATACACACAATATATATATATATATAGAAATTATTTTCTTTTTTCTGCAC